ACGTGTCACTCTCGTTCGTGAATTGAACCTTTTGCCATTTCTCTCTGGAAATGGATTTACCCAACAGTTGAATGAGGCGTTGAGGCTGGACGACTTCGACACCAGAAAGCTGATGTCAGATTTTGGATCGCTTCATATAATTATAGATACGCTGCCAAGGACTTCGGTCATATCAGACCTTGATCACCAGACCCAGAATCAAGAACTGGGCCCTGGCAGGAATGCTCTGCTAGCTTGATTCCGCTCAGCTCATCATGTTCACCGTCACAAAGAGGCAATGATAACTTGACTCATCAGTTGGGCAGTTAGATAGGCCCCTGGGGTATACATTCGAAAACACCATTGAACCCTTGCGGTACTATTTCGTTGCAAATGATAAAGGACGGAATTTCCTGCAACTCATTCAGTAATATTCATACTTTGCTCCTAAATTACCACTTATTCGCCCATCCTTAAGCTCTCTGCTTCGGCTGTTCTACCTAGCAATGATGCGCTTCACAACAGCTTTTGCTCTAGTGAATCTCTTTTCTTCATCCCATGCCCTCGGTTGTTTCAGCGACCGTAAAGCAAATATCGCAATCGATGCTGTACAGGCGCTGATCAATAATGTCGGGTCCAATAACTTTGACCCGCCCTTGGACTTTCCCATCGAGGTGAAAGCTCAACATCTTATTGGAGGCGAGACACAGGGTGTCAAGTTTTGCATTGAAAATAATTTCCTTTTCGATAACACTCATGTCGCGCAGGGAGACATCATATCTGCCCTAGAGGCCATCCGTGATGACTGTGACAGGTTTGGGTAAGTCTCGTCTCCCAAGGGTCTCTGCAATTGCTGCATCATCTCATCTACAAGATACTTCCGCTGGAGACTAACATATCAATAGGGGAAAGCGCCAGGCCCACGGGGATACAGGTCTTCCTGTCGATATTACCCTCACCACTTCCTCGGGATCGCCGTGTCCATAATTGTGGATAATATACTGAGGGGCGCTAAATGAAAGTAGGAGCGCCATATAGAGATTGGAAAAGATGGCTGGTGATTTATCAAGGTTCTTCCCAGTGTGGTATCTCATCTAGCTCAAGTATGACAATTAACTGCAAATTTTCTTACATGTAACAAGGGCCCTCTTATCCATTACGAGTAAGCACATGGATGCTGACCCAGAACGCATTGTTCCATTCACTATCTCAGTAAGCAGCTCCGACACTATATTGCAGATGTTGGACCCGCAGGCCCAGTAATATACCCCGATCATTTCTTGGCTGTTTAACATGATGTCACTATGAATGATATTTGCCGACGGTTACGCGTCTGGCACTGCGAAATATCACAGACATTAACATCACTACATGGGTAAAATGTAACGACATCTAGGAGATCTTTCAGCTTCAGAGTTCTGCTCGTGGAGTTTCTCCCAGCCATAGGGTCTTTGCTAGGTGCTGCCGATCACTTGGTACTCTCAGTGCCAACTGTTGGTAAACTTATTTCTCTATATTGAAGGTAGAGCATTACATACGACAGAATACCGAGAGGAAAATGCTGACGTTGTAGAAGTGTTATTGAAGGAATTGCTGTGGAGATGAATTGCCTTCTCGTTCAGTTGGCTTGCCCATATAGTGGGAACCCGACCTCGTAAAGTTCTGGACAGCCCGCCCTGCCTGATAATATTAAGTGTATTGTATTGACAGTCCACCAAATGGTTGGCGCCATGTATCAGAGCAGAAGCTTGGAGAGTGACTTGCATGGCTGCATGATCAGAAAACAAAGGCCACAAAGCGGAACATCGGACTGCTTCTTGAATATGAATTCGGCTCGTGTCATTAGTGCCAATCATCGCCATTGAGTTTTATATACTGTTATTCCCGTCAGACAGGCGGCCATGTCAAGGGACCACGTGCTGAATAGCCGCAAGCTCGAATATGTGATGCTTAATCTCGGCAAGCTTGACGGGGGCCCCTGCAGCCATCAAGTTTGGGAACCCCTACCTCTGTTATCCTACAAGGACCAGCAGAGTTTTGAAGTCGTTCGCAGAATCCGTTGTAGCAAAATGAACCCTAGAGGAGAGTTTCGGAGTTGTGGGTGAAAGGCTCAGATAAGGCTTGGCAGGTCGTTGAGCTAATGTTGACCAAGGACTTGATAGGTAATAAGTAGCACGCCAAGTACTCCATCTTTTGCTGCCCCAGTGCCCTTTCCAAACCGCGACCTAAGGCTGATTGTTAGACTGGCATGTTGTGTGTTCTTCTGAAGATGCCATTCAGGCTTCGCCAGACCAAGTACAGACAGGAACTGGGTTATTCGAACAGAAGACAAACAACTACCAGACAGACACATACCCTAAAGCCAGATGCGCACAGGCCAGAATGGCAGTTAACTACAAGAATCTTTTTTTCTCAAACGCGAGATGTCAGAGTGGGTCTTCCAGAGTTAAATGATTGGCCCTTTTGCAATCTTCTTATCGATATCATAGGAGGCCATGGCGTTCACGCCGCACTAACCCACTCAATTTTGATAATTGGACTGCGAGTGTTCCGAGCATATTTCACCGGCCTAATTTGACCAAGGGGGTTATGGAGCTCGTATAGCTATGGTGCAAATTTACCAGAACTATCCATGTCTTTTCGCAAATAACTTGAAGAATTTACCATAAAAAATAGTTACTTCAAAGTGAAAGCGACGCGAGAAGCTGGAACCTCTTCGGAACTTGGATGTGACAAGGGTTAAGCGAGCCCAAATGGCTGGGTTTTGGCGTTGGGGGAAGTGTGGATGCATTAATTGGGGAGGCCTGGTCTAAATTCGGATGAGATGCAAGCTCATCTATCTGTAGAGTGGTAGCAGTAGGCGCAGAGAAAAATAGTCAATAAAGTTTCGCAGCCAGTATTTCATTCATAATGGAGGTGTGGCCTGTCTCTACATATAGCATTCGGCAGCCTTATTTTAGGGAACGCATAGAGTAAAAAAGACGACATGTCGGTCATCTGCCAACTTTACTCAACACGATGGTAAACCTCTACATACGGCCCGAATAATTGCAGATGGACACTTATTTCAAGAGCGACATCTTCTCTTTTAGGCCTGTTCTAAAGCCAGGGAATTTAGTTCATAGAATCGAGGGTTTAATCACCAAAACAGCGCTTATGCAAATAACGCAGCGAGATCAGCTCTGGTGATCTGGATGAGAAATATCTGTATCTCATAACGGGGTAGACTTGAAAAAATCATGACAGCATTCTCTTGCCTTGTCCAGAGACTTGCATAAGTTAATTAGGCCTTTCAGCACCCAATAAGAGGCAAAAGGGCAGTCCAGCCTTCTTTGTAGAACTGACGAACATGAAGAATACCGAAAGAGTATTTTGAGAGATATATCTTAATTTAAATACCATTAATGAAGTTTGAGCTATGAAAAGTCCTAAGGCTGATATCCCTCTATATACGGGTAAATACTTTCTGATTGTCACTGTTTAACAGCAAATGTAACGAAATGCAGCATGACTGTTCACAACCCTCTAATAATCCAGAAGCTGGTTGCGCCACTGTGCAATTATGCTCAAGTAATGACTTTGGGAGAAAGTAATGACTTGCCGATATGTAGGATCAATCCAGATCAATGTGTTTATACCCTTTATAGAGAAGTTATTAGTTATGGGGCACACTTGAACCCATTGGTATTTTTATCATCAAAGCCCAGACAGAGTCACCTGCACCGCTGGCACTGAAACCAAGCCATTAAAAAGGCTTTGTATCATCTATCCAGCGAGGGTCTCATTTCTTCGATGACAAAATCTCACTTTTTGCATCAATTGGTATGCAAAGTTAACTATCAGCTGTGAAAGAAATTCTTATGGATAGCATATCAATTGAGTTGAGAAAGAAAGCCGAAGGTATAAGAATACTGCAGTCGTAATTACATAAGAGGCAAATACCTCTAAGAAGGGTTTATCTGTATTGAGCTGTCTTATTGAAGGCACTGAGAGACCTGGTTGGCGTTGTAGACTGTTTGATACCATACCTGCTTGGCAGGGTTTGGATAGCGGTAGAGCAATAATCCTGAAGAAAATGAGAGGGGCTAGCTGACAAGTCGATTAGAGTATATAAAGAGACCGCGAGGGAGCCGATTGAATCGGATTCGTGCGGAATCAGCTAGAGAGATTATAAAGCGAGTGGGATGAGAGAAAAGTTGTCGATTGAGGCCTTGAATGGCAACGTATTAACTTGGAAGGCTGGCGCCACTCTTCTCAATTGCTTAATTCTTTTACATCGCCAAGATGAATATGGAACCTTGGTACGTTGTCAAGAAGTCAGAGGTTCGCAGATAGGTGAAAGGCAAGAAAACAGATCTTCGAGGTGCGAATACTGATATAAATGGAGAGTTTGGGTAGAGTCAGAGATTGTAAATGATCTCTTGTTATGTTAGTTGGTTGTGGTCCCTATGCAGCTTTGATAGACGAGCTGAAATATTCTTATGCTCCTTTATGGTCGCCCCGATGATCCTCAAGCGGTCTGTGGCTTCGGTTCCAATTGGGAATAGTTCTGTTCCGGGCTTACTACCTATGACGGAAGGAATTCCTTCAGTGTAGTTCTATGATCGTTTGCGTCCGTTGATGGCTAAGGCACTTATACGTAATCTGGTGGTGACAACTTATCCTGATCTTCCAGTGTTGCTGTCAGGGAGTCAGCAAGCTCACTTTTGACATGTTTATCAAGAGTTTGAACGAGATGTATCCGTCAAGATGTTGATATGCGAATGGATTATCTTAGCAGAAAGAGATTTAGATCTACATGCCCAGGTAGCGTATCTCGCAAATCAGATCAGGACATAGAAATTTGCTACTGCGAAACCATTCAGTCTCATTCTAAACAGCTCTCTCTCTCAGTGCATCTGGGCAGCATCGTGATCTCCTTGGCTTTGGGGTAGTTAGCACGAAACGAACTATGCCGACATATCGAGACACGAAGATCGCCGACTTCCGTTGTCATGATACTGACAACGCCAGTACGCTCCTTAGATCTCTGCCTTGCGCCTCTTGTCACAATCAAGAATATCTCTAATCTCACATCGTCTCTTTTTGTCCTTCTCGCTCGGGCCCTGGCAGTTGTCAGACGTATTGCCGATCATCCGCAGAAGCGGCTTGGCGATATGCTCGCTAAAGACTTGTGGTAGTATGTCACCCAAGCTGCTAACATAGTGTCTGGGTGTCTTCTCATGAACAAGGATTGCGCGAACCACTTCTGACATAAATCTGCCGCTGGTCTGTCGCAAACCGTCCATTTTCGCCCAGGCCTGGAGGCCTTGAAGAAACGCATCGAAAACCGATGATTCATCCCCCTTGTTCGGCCACCATCATGCAAAACTCGAAAGGCGCAGGTCAGAGCTATTGAGATATATCTTGGCGCCAAGGTTGGTCCAGCAGTGAGAAAACTGTTTAGTGTACGGAGGTATTCGTCCGAGTGGTGGATGTAGCCCGGCACACAGAATACAGCCATAAGGTACTTAGCAAACACGGCAAAATTGCACCCAGACATTGTGCTGCTTGGGTTAGCGCCGTAGGAGCGAAACAGTCCGTGAAATCTGCGATCTAAAGAGTCGCTTAGTACTTCCTCCCCAAGTCCGGTGAAACTCCAAGGTGATATAAGGAAGCATAGGTACACCCAGGGATTTATAAACACATTGCCCGAGATTTGTAACACGTTATTGGTATCCTCGCCATGTTGTAGGAGTACACGAATGGTGTCGGCTGGGGGGATTTCGGCTGCCACCGCAACGCTCGGTGGTGGTAGGACTAATTTCCATAGGTAATATCGACTGGCTTCTTGGCAACGTATGATGCCGCGTTGGATCGTAAGACCTCTTCACGAAATACTAGTTTTGGCTTGCTTACCTCCACTCGAAAGTATACCTGCTTCATTCGAAACATTTCGTCAAAGGCACATCGAGTTCATCGAGTAGTTCTGACAGTTTGTCCGACCAATCTGCTGCTATTTTTGATGTATGCTTCCATATAATAATTAATCGATCAATCGGCATACCAGAATTAAGGTTTGGGGGGTTCAGTCGAAAGATTCCGTCACTAAAACGTGCCGACTTGATGTGGGCTACATAGGCTTTGGTGATCGATAAGCAAACATCAAAGTCGGGACGTCGTTTTGCCTCCAGATATGATAGCATGTCTCCGGTCCGAAAAAGGTCACGGACAGTCTGATGCAAAAAGTCGACTTTGTTGCCTTGCTTACATTCCAGAAGTCCATTGGCCCCAAGTATTAATTCTCCGGCGAGTTTCGTCATAAAGGTCTAGTATCTCTCCGACACTCCCTTCCTTTACTAGGCAGCGCAGGGCGTAATCTTCATCCTCGTATTCCATATCCTGGAACCCATAGAGATCCAATCTGAGAGGCTCCTGGGCGTCGAGTGCGATCTGGAACATGCCAGCCATTTTTCTCGTTGTAACTTGATCGAACATGTACTTGAACAAGTGTTTGAGACTTTTTGGAAGATTGTCCAAACGTTGCCTCAGCTGTTGGGCCGTGTCACCATTCGTGAGTCCGTCTTGAAGTGGTTTGGTAACCAAGGAGGCTCACAGGAACACTCCTTGTGCTCGGCCTGCAATTGTCTCCACAATGGACTGCAGCTGTTCATCCCGAGATCGGTATGTCACCCATCTTGGATGAGATTCGAGTTGATCCCTGGAAAAAGTAAGTATATCCGTTCGCGCCAGGTCGTGTATCTTCATCATGTGCTTTCTATCATTGCCAAAGTTGTCCATGAATAAATTCTACGGCCGACTAGAACCAGATAGCTTGATGTGTGGAGATGTTGAAAATTCCTTCAATGTAGCACAGAGATCAAGATGGCATCCATACCATCGATAAAGAAGCAAAACTTGGCGTCTAGATCTACCTAGCCAGAAAGCTTTCGAAGAGTATGAGAAAGTTCTGAATGTGACCATCGACCAGTCCCATCTCGTTACACACCGAATTTTGATGACTGGCCCATTGCTCTATCCTATCGATTAGAAGAACTATGGGTATGTACTTGGGGCAATATCTGTGAATTTCATGAAGAAGAGTCTGGAGCATACCTTTCCTGGACTTCTATATTAAGGCAACGGTAGCCCGGAAGTAATGTTCAGCATTTGTAATCGGTCACTGGCGTGAAAAGTCCAATAGCATATTTGAGCCTTGTAATGGGTCGCGATAAATTTATCGCGACCCATAGTCTACTGCACTTCAATCAGCATACGTGCGAATACTACCATAGAACACCAATGGAAGATTATCGAAATCACATGAGCCTGTCTCACCCCGTCTTTAGCGGCAATTCTCCATCAAGGGATTTTCGAGGTGCTAAGTCGAAGATTGCATTCTCAGTCTAGTGCAAAGTGTAGGCTCATTGAACATTTTCGTCATCTGACTTGCCCAACAACGCCTAAGGTTCTTAATCTGGAATCTAGACTGCATATTACCCAGTGTACACCGTAATAGTTCTCTTCATTCTGATTGTAGGGATACTACGCAATGGATTAATCTTTGATCAAGTTGTCTGGACCTGGCTATCTGTCGACGGTTTACAAGTATGAGGACTACCTATAATCGTCTGGAACGACATATGCCAGGATTTGCTGCCACCTCGTCATCAGAAACGCCACTATCGATGATTTCTCTGCCCTCGATCTCATACGTTACCTGAGCGGCCATGTAATGGTTCCTGGTCCTTGCCCATTTCTCCAACCGAGACATATCTAGCAGCTTCTTCCAAGAGGACCAACGTGAGGGTTCCAAGACGGGCGCTCTGGAAAGCGAAAGCTCTAACTCAAACTCAACACTGGGTTAAACAGCGGGACTCTAGGCAAATAATGACTAGACAGCGCATACACACAGATGTCGAGCAACTGAGATGTTTGTGCCCAAAACAAAAGGTCGCCTTGCTCTCAATAATCCTAGCCTTTTAGGCATACTCTTGTGCCTGGTTTTTACGGGGATCCTGTCAAAGATACATCAGTCAGCCCATTAATCTAATACTCTGTCGTGTCGGCCTCGAACCACCGGTGTCTATAACAGATGTCCTTGTTGTTCGTAATCTATTTTGTTTCCAGCTTCCCTTCCCAACATTATCCCATAGCTAATATTCCTCATTAGTAGAGTGTTCCTGCTAGCTAAGTTGTTAACACAACCATCACAACTGTACCTAGGAGCGACGATGCTGACTCTCAAGATGATAAAATTTACCTTTACTGAGAAGTTGACTGGGTATCCTTGTTTTGATGGCTGTTCTACAGATACTAGTTTCTTTAAATGCAGTCAAATATTATTGTTATAATCTTAAACGGTCACTAAAATAGGCGTTCCAGACAAGCTCTTACACTGGAGTTTTTCGGGTTACGGCAGAAATCCAACGAAATTGATCAACCATGATCGGCGATCCCGAGCGTATCAAAGACAATATAAAGGCTTAGTCTTTTCAGTGAAAAGAAAAGCCGCCAACCCGTTAATATTTGCATCCTACAGCCAATTCTCAATGCTGCGTGTGAGGCGCGTGATGTGAGCCATCAGCTGTGGGGTCTATCAACTCAAAATAACACTCTTATCAAAGTCAATCCGGGCAGTATACAAGTTGCCCAACACAACTAATATTTTTCAAATTCTTTTAAGCTAAGATAATCTCTTTCCAGATAGGCTCCGGCTTGAATGAATTATTAATGCATTCTTGATAGATATGTCCCACACCACGTCGCTCTGCAAGCCCGTCACTATACTCAAGCAGCATTACATTATAGCAATAGCCATCCATGTCCACATGTTCCGAAAGTACAATCACATCAACTACGTCTGATGAAAAGAACACTGTGAAATCTTCAAACCCATCAAGAAATAATACACCACAATCAGTGCCAGACTCACACTGGACATGGCACTGTCCAGTGAAAACATTGAGGTTTATGAGTTTCAAGCGTAGTGATAGTGTCCAAAACTGCAAGAGAGGGTATGGTGGTAGAAGCGAAGGGAGGGGAGGTATTTCGGTGGGTGTTGTGTGTGTTGTGGGGAAACCCGAGAGAACTAAGGTATCAAATCTTGGTCTCTGTCGGCAGCCGATATAAGGCGCATCATCGGCAGACGTCTGGCCGTTTGCAGTAGGATCCCGAATCAGGCTTATAACTCCTGACGGAGTTCGCTTATACCAAACAATCCACGTGCATATTGAAAACCATTCGTCTTTAGTTGGTGTTTCGATACTGATGTGCCCCTGCCAGCCGCACCAAGAATAACTCGGAAAACCAGGGCGGCGATGAAGGCAGGATCCTCGACCTTGGAATAGAATAAATGCATCCAGAACTTGAGTAGGAAGTCCTTCGATAAACCGATAATTCATCTTGGCTGAGAAACGGCGTATAATACCTGCCATAGCCCTTAACGCGTCGTTCGGATTTGTGAGAGCTCGAGTCGTATAGTTCTCTATTACATTGGCATAATCATATACTGGATCTTCCATATGAATTGCGTTATATGTTTGCCCAGTCTTTGGTCTTTGCTGTTCGGACTGGTCAATGACGGCTTCTGAACACGTCATGTTTCTGCATCGAAAGAACACTTTATTGTCTAGAAAGTACAGAGCCCGCCGACTCAGAATCTGTTCTTGGAATCTATAGTATGATGTAATTCGAGTACTGGGGAATGAGCATAAGGGCACCTACGTCCATCCTCTTGAGCTGTATGATGATGCTTCAAGCAAGGTAGACAGATCCATATATAAACCAAGACTTATTCCGGGCTTAACCTCAACAGTTTGCTTTAAAGCCGGCCGACTTCGTGCTCGAACTCCTGGAAGGCCTGCATCGGCGTCGTTCCCAGAAGCAGCAATAATAGTCAACAGGGAACGTTCGTAGATCAGGTCCATAACATTGATACCTCTCTCAAGGTCTTCCATATCGTTCTGGATCAAGCATAAGGCGTCTATCCATAGATACTGTACCCCCAGTTTCCTGGTCAGTTCTATGGCGTCGCGGACAGTCCTGGGAAGTCCATTTAAGCCTTTTATAGAGCCAGGAATCAAAAGACGGTTCAAATTCACTTGAGTCAGCCTAATGTTTCGAACGGCACCCCAAATATAGCTTAAAGCTAGATAGGGAACGACATTTTGGACTTCGACTAAACAGTTTTGTTGGACATCGAGCAGGCGCAGGACATGTAGCCCTGGAAATGCCGAGCTAAAAGTGGCATATTCCAAGGAACACTCGCCTCCATGTGTTTTTGTACATTCAGAAAGCCACTGAAAGACTCTCCACACATCTATTTCTGTATCAAGGAGGGAACAAAGGTAGTACATGTCTTGATCAGACGGAATAGTTGATATTGTGTGAGGGGAAGTTTTTGCAGCAAAAGAAATAAAAGGGCGAAAGATATCGCTGACAATATAAGCCGGGCGCCTGCCCGGTCCATAACCTATCCAGCTCAATGTCGCATCTGAACTAGGTAGGTCGTCCCTGAAAGAGTTTATCCGGCGTTCCTGGAGGTAAGCACTCTGTATCAGTTGGCACAGAGGACAAGGGCTGGTAAAGATGCGGGGCCAAGGTCCTAGTTTGAAACGTTCGTGTTTCCGGGAATTGATCTCCTGGAGGCTTAGTGGCACCTTGCTGCAATATTCGCAGAGTAGACTCATGGTGACTAACTGGCGTTTATTTTGAAGATTTGCTTTTAGAAGTGTTTGGATAAAGAGGGGTAGAAAGAGGGGCAGAGACGTCCAACTGGTCGGTCAGCTCGAGCCAGAGGGATCGCCGCTAATTTAAGTAATCTTGGTTGGCCTCATTTCTGTTGGCTGTATTGTATTTGCTTAAATTGGAATAGCGTTCCATTTTCAAAATAGGCTACTAGGCATTCCCAATAACGCGTTACTGTCAATCCCTCCCTCTGGAGTCAAATTTCTTAAATCCCCTTAAGGGGTTCTATAAAACTTCAACCACTTTTTGAATTAATTCTAGTCCCAGCCATTATCATATTAAAGCTACACCGATTTGGGCGGTGGGGACCGCAGACCATTCATGATGCCTGTCTGTATCCAAGATCTCAGCATCTAGATCTGATGTGATCTGATCACTATCTCTGGTGGCTCTATCCGGCTCCGCACGGCCGATAACCCCGATAAGACCTCACGATAAGACCTCACAGGTATGATAGCGACAAATCGTGATTGCTGTTACCGATGCTAACGTTTTATTCCTGATTCTTAATTGTTAGCTTTGTCAAAAGAATTGTCCAAGTGATGGGCCTTGTCTTGCAACTTTCTCTTTCGCCTCCCAAAGCTGTTATTATTTTTAGCTTCTTCCCCCTACACTCGTCGCATACAACTACTCAACAAGCAGACACATCCTACGCTGCCTACTAACACCATTGCTCTCAGCTCTTGGCAGTACGCACATCCTGAACCTGGCATACGATATGTACTGACGGAAGCAGAAAACCACGTTCAAGGTCAGAGAACCGTGGATGGTCTCACCGCTGGATGGTGCGCCATGCCGTCCGCCGAAAACCCTCCCCAATCGAACAAGGACAAAACCGCGGATGACTACCGGGCCGAAGCAGATGAGATTCTTAATCGCCTGAGGGATGTGCTCAAAGAACGACCTGAAGCCGACGTCCCAAGCCAATGCGTTTCTGCCATCACGTGGTGGAAGGAGATCATCTCGATGCGTTTGAGGTCCAACTACAGAATGGATCGGTTTCATCGGGAACCTAGCATCGGCCCCAATCTACGTGTGATGCTGCTTTTTGAAATTGGACCCGGTCAAGAGTATTGTTCTTGGCGAGGCAATTTCTTTATTTATCCTATAGACTTTTACACCACCCTATGCTCATGCCCTTCGCCTCACCTCTTTTCTTCTTTTCTCTGCTTTCTGTTTTTAAAAACCCAAGGTCATTGTCACTTTAGGTACTAATTATAACAACTTTTTTCCCAAGTTACTTTTTCAGCCAACAAGATCATAATCATCGGCAAAACATAGTATATCTTTATGAAACTAAATTCATAATGAGATCTCGTACGTTGCATCAATATTTCGTTTTCTATCCTTTAACCAGCGCCTTGTGAAAGTTATGCTACTGCCGACATACCCTTGGCAAGCTGACTATCTTATGGTGAGGTAACACTTGTCACTAACCATGATGGACTGGCAAACCTGATAAGGACTTATCTATTAATCGGCTAAAGGAATATGCAGAGTACAATCTGCAGGTTTCTAAGATGGACACAATATAAGAAATTTAGCGTCTTGTCCCACCCTACACCAGTGGTGAGATTCCATGCCACCTGATGCTTATTCAATAGCCTAATACCCACCTGCAGCAAACCGTCATTTGGATAGCATGTGTCGAGATTCTAGCTTTGGGAAAATGTATCTTTTAAAGGTTCTTGAGTATGTAGGTCATAATGCCGAGACAAGGGCCCCAGAGAGTTTTTGTAGCCATCCTCAACGGCAGGTCTTGATGAAAACCAAAGAGGGGGGAGACAGTGCATGTATGGAACGCGTGAATTACAATGGCCAATCGAAGTATGTCGTAATGGCTATCAAGAACGGCGCCGGTGTCAACAGTGACCCTGTATGCCTTGGTAAAACCTCCTATTGTCTAGTTAGGTTGAACCAACCAACGCCGACCACGTATATTTGTCTGCTTGTTATCATTATGACTACTGAAGATAATTGATGTAAGACGTCCTCCAGTGAACGGTTCATTCTTAAGCGCCAGCAGCAAGCCAAAAGCCAAAAAGCAAAAATGGCTTGGGCTAGAGGCTCTAGCGCCGGGGGCGGATCGGGATCGCTCATTCCTGGCGAGATCGAGCCAATCTTATTGGAGCCTTGTGACACCTTATACGAAGTGGTTGTGAGGGATTTCCAATTTCGTCTAGCAAAAATGCAAGTATGCCCGAATTTACTATTGATATAGCATGAATCCACAAAAGATTCGCCAACAGGCACATTTGTATCCATATTATGCATGCAACGTGATAAGTGGGTATCACAAAGGTGTCGATGGAGATCACATCCGAGATCAGATTACCGCCTAGTTGTCTTTGCACCGTCAAGAAATGCCGTTACATCTTGCTTCTACTTCAATACACGGTAACCAATTCACATTCTGCGAAGTAGTTTTATCTTCCAAAATGGATCCAGCGGGGCTCGCGGTTGGTATCACATCCTTGGCATTCGATCTATTCGATAATTCCGTCAAACGTAAGTTTTGAGTTTGTTGCTATCGTTATGCTTCCGGCCACTGACAGGTATGAAGTCTTCAAGTTCTTTTCTGCTATAGTTGATATGCCTAAGGAATATGAACAATATCGCTTACAGCTAATGATTGAATACAACCGCCTGCTGGCCTGGGGCGACGCGATTGGTTTGATCGATGTACCCCAAGCTTCGCACGTGGCCACTAATCTGGGGACGAATGCAATAGAGCTCTGCGGTATTATCTCACGTATAGGGTGGCTTCTCGGAGAATTTCGGGATATGAATGCCCGTTGGGAAAGTGAGTTGACACAGACTCAAGAATACAGCCAAGTGGTTGGAGATAAGGATGAGTCGAGTATGGATATAGTCAAGCAGGTTTCGAGCTTGGCCACTGCTTACGAGAAGAATAAGAGCACACGTCAACAAGCAAAAGGAGTTACTCATATCAGGAAGTGGATGTCACAGAAGGTCGAGAACGCAAAAGAAATCGTCACAAATCCTCTCCGCGTCCGTTGGGTGATGATGGATAAAGCCGCTTTCAAAGGATTACTCGAAGATCTACACTTTCTCACCAATCGAATGCATGAGCTCACTGTTGATCATCGGCAAAGCCGCATACAGGAAATAACAGCCAAGACTTATCGCGAGATGGTAGTAGCAAGAAACAGCATCAACGAGTTGAAAACTTTGCTGGAGGCAGTTACTGAGTTACTGAATATCAAGAAGAGGAACACCGAGTGGGAACAACGCAATGATAACACCGAGATGCTTCGAGATATCTTGCGTTTAAAAGAAATCAACAGTATTTCCAACCAGCTTGTTACCAGGGCCCACAGTGGAGGATACTTGGATATCGAGCGGGAGATTAAAGACCTGATTGATGTACAGCGATACGATAATTTGACTGCGAGTCAAATTCTGACGTATTCGAAGGATGAGGATATGAAAGAGGCTACAGTACCGTTGAGGCCGCGAGGGGTTCTGCAACAAAATGGAACAGCCGTGCAGATTTGGATAGAGTGGAAGATGTTTGACAACCAAGATGAGACAATTCGCCTGGAATCTAAGTTAAGAACCATGACTCTTGCACAGATGCTGCATATGGACAAGCCGCGCCACCTCTACTCACCACTCTGTGTTGGATACGTTGACGAAAGTGAGACTAACCATCGCATTGGTTGGATATTCAAGATGGCCCACGGGACCAGTGCAAACACGACACTACGGTCCCTTCACAGTATGTTGGGCCAGTGCCAATACAAACCGGTCCTTACTCAGCGAATCTCCCTTGCCTGGAAACTCGCGTCTTCACTCTCGTACATGCACACAACAAACTGGTTACACAAGGGTATCCATAGTGGTAACGTCAGCTTCTCCTTTGAAGAAGAACAGTTCGACGCTGAATCTCCTATCTTATCGGGATTTGAATATTCGCGTCCACAAAGCAACAAAACAACAACACGCAGCCTCGAACCTAAGTGGGACATCTACCGCTGGCCGCAAATCCAGAATGAGGTGCCAAAAACCACGAACTCTCGAAAGACATATGATATATATAGCCTAGGTCTCGTCTTGCTCGAAATTGCTCATTGGAAGCCCTTAAACGAGATGATTGGCTTGAAGAAATGGCCCATCCCCTCCGCTCAAGACGTCAAAGTACGTGGCTGGCTCTTAGGAGAGGATCTTCGGCCACCGTTCAAGAAATCAAATCCCCTATTGGAGCTGCGGGATATTGTTGGGGACAGGTATTGGAATGCGACGCGCCGCTGTCTGGTAGCTCATGGAGAATTGGGTTTGGGAGTGGAGGAAAGCTTTGACAAGTCTAAGGGCTTAGAATATGACCTCCAGCTCCAGAACAATTTTACTGATCTGGTAGTTGAGGAACTTAAGAGTATTATGATCTGATGGCTTTGAACACAGAGATTTGTGGTTCGTTAGGAAGATATTGTCGTATTTATAGAGAAGCGACACGGAATCTGCATATAAATTTTAAGCGTCGTCTATCTGGTGGTTTTCTAGTATATAAATTATTTCCTCCAGCTTTCTTCTCTCTGCAAAGTCTATTGCAACGTTTCCATCGAGGTCTTCAGCATCAGGATCGGCCCCGGCATCAAGTAGCATCTTGACTATATTGCTGTTGTCTTGTCCCGCTGCTCCATGAAGTGCAGTGTGATCATTCTCATCTCTAGCGTTGACGTCGGCTCCTTTCTGTAATAGAAGCTTGACCACGTCCTCGGACCCATTTCGGGCAGCACATTGCAATGCCGTTTGACCAGTCGGATTCGGAGTGTCGACATCTACACCATGTTCCAGAAGCAAGCCCACAATATTCACGGAACCGTTCTCCGCTGCGTAATGGATTGCATTCAAGGTGTTCGGGTCGGCTCCTTTCTTAAGTGCGTGTCTAACCTCGTCCTCAGAACGCGCTTTGCAAGCTTCCACTAACTTATCGTCTTCAGTAAGGACCGAGTCTGCGGTGCACGTGCAATGAACAGGCTTGTCCGAAACCAGAAGTTTCGATAATTCTGAAGAGATATTCCCAGCTTTAGGACGCTTGGCTCGGTCTGGATCAAGCATTCTTTGACAGAGCGACAAAATATCGTTCTGCCAGCCTGTCAAATGAAGGCTCTCCATCATCCACTTGTGGACTTCATCAATATGCTTAGCGTATGATGATCCCTCCTCCTCAGACGATGACTTCAAGATCACCTGGAGCTTTTTCATGCTTGCAGGCTGAGCTTGGGATAAAAGCATTTCAAGAAAGACAGCTCCTAGAGAGAAGATGTCTGCAGATCGGCCACGCGTACTCCCATTCTCGACCTCCGGAGCACAGTATTCCTTCGTTCTTGGAGGGCGTCGGTTTTGATAAGTGGTTGGTATAGTCTTCCCTAACCCCATTAGAGAAAGACCAAAGTCAGCAAGAAGGACCTTGTTGCCTTTTAGCAAAATGTTTGAAGGCTTGATATCTCGGTGACGAATACCAGAGCCGTGTATGTGGCATATCACATTAATAAGGCAGCCAAACCACTGGAGACTCAGTTGGCTCCCAGGTCTGAGAAAGTCATCCAGATTGGCGTCAGCACGCTCCATCACGACAGAAAATATGATCCGATCAGCCTTTTCCTCCACGAAATACGTGTGAACCAGCTCGACGACATGGTGATGTTTGGCAAAATGGAGGATTTTTGCTTCTTGGGCTAATTTGCGTTTTTTCGCAAGTTGTGAAGGCCCAACCTCGGCTTGGTGATCAATAATTGTTTTTCGAACGCATCTGAGGCCATTGAAACGACCGAGGGTTCCTTTGACCTTTTCGACGTTTGTATCAATTAGTGGTGAATTCCCATCCGGGGTGAATGGGATCTCGGAGTCTTTACTGTAAGCCCGGGGCCAGAAAGAGTCATTGTCACTTTCGTGACTGGAGTTATGCATTTGCTAGGATCTTGAAGTACTGCTTCCAGATCTGCCAGCTGCGGCAAGGATTAGGCCAGGATCGGCTTAATTATGTTCCGAGTGATTTCTCTAAATCCAGTTAGTATATTTAGATTAAATCACGCAACTAAGACTTTGTATTGGCATTATCGTCAGTAATAGGTTAGTATTAAGCATGTCGGGAAATCTATGGCCGAGATCAGCCTGACCGTGCTTATCTCAGCTCGATTCATCTTATCGGATGGGAGCCACCAATTGGCCTTAGACATCATTCCATCTTAGCTAAGGGAATATCATTCGATCGCTGAGATACCCTGAATCGATCCGAAAGCCTGCTTCTTCTAAAACAACCGTCGAGCTACAAAGATAAATGCCCCAGACGCCTCGCCAAGTCGCATTCATTTGTGGCAGAAGTGCGATCAGATCAAGTAATTCAGGACATTGAGAGATGGAACAACCAGAGGAAGAGGGGAAACATAACGGGACTTGGCTGAACCCACTTTACGAAAATCGCTTGTGCAGTGGGGTCTCAATTGGCCGCACGAGGCACACGCGCTAACACGTGACTGCTCCCCGACTGTGGCGGCTCCAGTGGCTTCTTGGCTGACCGGGTAAACTACGGTCTCGATAAGCAGCTTATCTTAGCGGGACCGCCCCATCTTAAGATCACCTTGCTGTTGCTGCTACAGGTTAAGATCCTTTGAAACCTCTTTCTGAAGGTCACCTCAGTGTGCAATTAACTCTTCATCACTTACACATAAGCTTCATAAGTTTTTACAAGAATTGGTAGACTTTGATGAGTTTTACAAAATTTAGCTAAGGCATGCGTTTATAATATAATCACGTACCTAAACTTATGCCTTTTGATAAAAGCAATAATGCAAAAAAAAACCACTACGACACAGAGGCTGAATGTCAGGGGCCCCCGGAGAGACACATTCATGACATCTCCTTTGAAAGCGGACAGACCAGGTTTCGACTTTCAATGTAATCTGGGATGTTTCCTGGTCTCCCGAGCTCACAACCTCTGCCCTTCCCACTCAAGTAATGTCTCGATGATATTCTGAGTAGCTGAATCGCTGCATTAACAGCTCCCTGTTTTTTTCTTCTTCTTTCTCTTTCTCAACTATATGCTGCCATCTGATGGTATTCGTGAACAGAACTGTAGGATGTAGCCCTTTGAATAAGTCGTGTCTCCTGCAGCTTACAGGGCATCTTGGCCTTTGTGTTTAAGTAATATAGATTCACCACTACCGTGTGACTGATGTTGGCTGAATACTGGTGCTAAGATGATAGGTCTCGGTGTGATATCTTACAAGAGGCAGAATACTCCCACAAAAGCTCGGCTAGCTCAAGGGACTCTCACAAACACCCTTCATACCACAAATTTCATGCAGGCCTTCCTCTATCGCGAGGCAAGCACCATATTCGTGACCTATTGTCACTGCCTGTTATCTTGAGTGCATGTAGGTCCGCCTTTGTCCAAACTGGGGAGACCTCCGAAATTGCCCCCTGCTCATTACTGTAGGTAAAGTAAGAGGCAATATACCTCTCCTCTTGTGAAAGGCTTGAATCTATATTCTTTTGTGTTTGACTTGGCTTGAGAAGCTTGGGGACTAAATTTCAGTAGCGACTATCCGATGCAGAAGGCAAAGTAGAAGGAATGCCTATCAATATCAGGCTAAGCGAACTGAATAATGGCCAGACCATAAGACCCTGTTGGATCTGAATGGGCTGTCACCTTGCAGGTCATACATATAGTCCTTAAGATCCTCTGGTCACCACCTGCCCAAGTCCGAGGCGGCAGACAAGAAGTACTCAAGAATAGGTGGTGCTCAAAGCCATTCTACGTCAGAAATATAGTACAAGAGACTCGGTGTACTCTAGCTACACTTCTTTTCGAGCTCTATACTTTGTAGCGTTTAATGGTCATCCCAGAAACAGGAGTTGCGATAATGGAACCTCAACAGCGATATCTGCGGAAAGCAATTTGCAAAGCACTTGAAAGCGCAGATCTTCCTTTTTAGAAGATTGCTAAGTCGACGTTATAACCATATTGCCATATCTTCGTGAATCAAGACTTACACGGAGTAAAAAGACTTGTCGCTTAATAGTACGACAGCATAAGCTATGACGTTGGATTGGGAACATTGGCCAACCCCATATCATGTGTTGGACCAGAAAGCAAATTTTAAGTATACTTTGATCTGTTATTTACCAAAAACATAACTATATATCCATCTAAGGGCTAATTTAACCTGCTGAGAGGGCATATTAGGGATGCCTCATAACTGTAAGATGAGTATTAGGTGGTGGCTATGACGGCAAACATCAGGAAGCCTGGGGAAGCTTCCTGCCCAAATGTCCTGTAGAGGAAGCTCTAGCTTATTTTGTGTTCTTCAAGACAGGCATAAATTCTGTTTATACCGTTCATGTAATATAAACCATGGCATGTTACAATGCTAAAATCGGTTTCATTAGCAGGGTCTTGGGTCGTGAGACGGGACGGTAGACCTGCGCCTTAGCCCTGTTAAATCAACGTCGGTCACTCAGTCACGGCGAGTGACTTTACCAGCGCCGTCGAAGCTATTATTGTTCAGGGAAGAACCCAAACGTAAGATTAGTGCACTGGAGCTGAACTTTGTCAACCACAAAAACTAGACTTGGGCCAAGAGGAAGACAGGAGTCAGGAGACTCAACAAATCACTTTATGATATGCTGACCGATTTTACAATATAGGCTGTGTCATTGTGTGTCATTGCATTGAAATTATTGGTTGGCTAGATGCATGGCGTCAAAAACAGACAATGGAAGTTAAGCCTCCATCCCGCCGATGTTTTGTTCGGTGAGGGACATGTCGCGATCTTTTGAAACTTGTAGCGCCATGTATGTGTATGCGTTCCTTGGATGCCAGGACTTTCCGAGATTCGGCGATAGGCAGGTAAGATATGCATGACTATAATATTCACAGAAGATCAAATGTCACGTTGCAGTGTTTTTAGGCGCGTACGTCTGCAGCCCATCGGGTATGAATTCGGACGACAAACCATGCAACGTGCAAGGTAAATTGCACAATTGCGCAGCCGACTCATTGGGGGAGAAATTAAACGACCCCAAACGCACCAAAATTCGCTGGCGTTCCACCCATCGAGGGCTCGTTTTTTATTTCTCCCCCTAGGCTGGTAAAGCCCTCTGAGCCGTGTATGCAGCTCTGGGTCGTGTGTGCCGTTCTGAGCCGTGTGTGCAGCTTGTGTGCAGCTCTGAGCCGTGCGTGCAGCTCTGGGCCGTGTATGCAGCTCTGGGCCGTGTGTGCAGCTCTGGGCCGTGTGTGCAGCTTGTGTGCAGCCCCAAGTCGCACCGTCAATCATATTGGGGATGATATGTACCGACAAAGATAATTAGGCATCTAAAACACTCTACATGTGAAGATCTAATTTCTCAACATTGTCCTATGATATGGCACCGTATATACGACT